ATATACATTTAACAAATCTCTATATTTAGAGTAATATTTTGTGCTTTATCAAAACAATGTCACCAAAGGAAAAAAACAACATGTAAATGGAACGGGAGTTTATTATTTGACTGATGCAGGGTTCCGGGTTGTTTTTGGGAGGGGGGGGGGGGGGTGCGCCTAAAAGTTTGGCAGAAAGTCGACTTTTTTGCAAAAAAGCTTGAGCCTACTAAAAATCAGAAGTTCTTCGTTAGCGATAGAAACTAGTAATCATAACTTATTCGATAAAAAAGTTTTTTCATATAAAATTTTTTCGAAGCAAAAAAGCATAGATGTTTTAATAATTAGTCTTCTTCACTGTTTTCTTGTTGCGCTTCATCGTCTTCTTTCATGAATATTTTGATATTCCTGGTTTTTGCTCGACCTGGATGACTAATGAAGTCATGAATGAAATATTCGATGGCTTCTTCTGTCAAAGTTGGAGCTAAAGTTGCCACTTTTATACATATTTCAGCTGTTGAGCTGCTTATACGGTTACGTTGCCACGATTTAATTCTTCTAAGTGCGGAAAATGAACGTTCAGCTTCATTTGATCCAACAGCAAAGGTAGCTAACACTTGATACAATCTATACCATTCTGGTGCTTGTTCTTGCCCATATTTGGCTAAATGTGTTAATACTGATGTAATTGTGGTCTTATCTTTTGTTAATGTTAGAAATGAATGAACATCTGTTTTTAACTTGTAGAAGTCTAGCAATGGTGAATCTGTTCTTGTATATACTTTATTATCGACACTAATATGTTTGTATGTGATCTCATTTGTATATTTCTGTATCAATTCATTGTGTAATAATTCATCAGCAGTCATCTTCGATGGTGTTGATAAAATGGAGACATTTTTAATCAATTCTTTAGCTTCACGGTCAAATTTCGTGTTTAATGATTGTAAAACACTTGCCACTATTTGTTGTCCATTTTCGCGTAACTCATCTTCATCAAAATCTTGTTGAATGAGTACTACTTGTGCTGGTGCTCGAGATCTTGTCGAGTGAGTTGTAGAAGGTATTGTTGGCATATATTGTTGTACATTATTCATTAACGTTCGTAATGAAATGAAATCAAACTCTTCCACAGCTCGACTGATTGTAGCTACGGCTGCATCTACGTGCATTGTAAAATTGTCCATGCACGAAGCTCTTGTTTCTATTTGTCGAAGAAACTTCATGGCCGGTTGTAAAATATTTTGTAATAGGATTATTTCAAAAGCCGTGCGATATTGTAACAAATCAATAGCATATCTTTTTCCATCAGACGCTCCATCTATTTTCAATTGAGAAATGGTGGCCAGAGTTTGAACGATCGGTAAATAATGTTTAACACCAAATCGAACTATTTCATAATTATAAGTCCATCGCGTTTTACTTGGTTTGGGTATTGTATGCCCTGCGAATGAAGAAAAGAAGTACTAATTTTTTGTTTCTTTGTAAAACTCTGGAGATTTATACCTCTTTTGCTAGTTCCATTAATTTTTTGACTATTCAATAATATTTTCAGTCTCTGTGGGCTGTCTCGGATGAATCCTAAGCTAGCTTTCAATGTATCGAAAGAATCATAGCAATTATCCTCGATTGCTTCCTTGACTGCCAAATTCAACAAATGACTACGACAATACACATAGGTCGCCCAGGCGGATAAGCGTGCTTGAACATGACCGGTCGTCTGAAATCTCATCGATGATACCCCATCATATGTTTGACCAGTGATAATAAACTGTTTGTGAGCATCCTTTTCTAGTTGATCAACAAATGATTCAATTATACGAAAAAAACCTATAAGAAAAGAAAAAAATGCCTTTTTTCGTCTCCACATTGATGCATTCTCGTATTTTACCTTCACCAGTAGTATCAAATATTGAATCCATTCTAAATATTTGTTCTTTAATTGTACCCGTGTCTTATTCAACATATCGCAAACAAATTGATACCATTTTTTGTATTGAAATGTCTTGTGTTTCGTCTACAATTAGATTTATGTAATTTGATTTTCTAATAGATTGCATTTGTTGTTGATGTATGTAACTATTTATCGACAAAAGCCATTCTGAAATAGCTTCATGGCCCCAATATCTAAAACGCAACTTATTAACAGTATTTTGTTCTACTGAGAGGAAGTTCGGTGCTGTACCTTTGTTTGACGTTTGACAACTTCATCCATTCAATAATCCCTGGACATTCAACTCGTTGTAAGAATTGTATTAAAGATTTAAATTTCATGAGAGCCATTTCTTCTGTTAAAATGTACCAAAATGCTTGTAGTAATATTGATAAATATTTCTCCGTTTGTTTTTGCATGTTTACACAATTCATTTGACCAATAACATCTCCCTTATCACGAATATTTCTTGCAATAATACGCCGTTCTTTTGATTGTCGATGCAAATCACTTTGTTCATGTTCCCGAATACCTGATGAGCAAAAAGACATAAATTTCGTCATGAGAAGAAACATTACAGTAATGGTGAGTTATTACCTTCAATGCCTTTATGTTTCAGTTTCCAATAAGGTCTAGCAATAAATGCACCACCACTTCTTCCGATTTTCGCTTGATCTGAAGCGAATTCACTACAATCTGTACATAACAGTCCATATTTGTTATCTGTACAAACTGCTCTTAACCTAGGACGATGATCAGAAAACCATTGTTGACTTGGTTTATGAATCGATTTATGCTGTTGTTCTTTGGAGTGCTGTTCTGGATACCATTTGATATTCGGATATTGAGCACGTTGTTTATCAACAAAAGATAATTCTTGACTGTTAATAAAACGAACACCGACCTTAGATTTTGCTATTATTGGTGGGTGATTATTATCGGTGTATTTGTGTTGTGCAGTAATATTACCATCAGCATTATTAATATTACAATCGCTATCCTGTGTATCATCGCTTTCGCTACTTGTTGTATCCGAAGAAGTGTCGTCGTGTGATTGGTCTGACATGTGTTCTGAAGGAAAAACATCAGCGAGACGAAAAGAAAAAGCTAAGAAGTGGTGATTCTCAACTAGACTTACGAGAAAGTACCACGCAATCATCTATCTCTTGCAAGTCATTTGTAGTTATTGGTGCAAATAGACAGATATCAGGACTCTTTGGTTCATGAATGGCTGCAAAGGATAAAAGTAACCAAAGACGCCTGAAAAATGTGGTAAGAACTCGTTTTTCATACCTCCGCCCGTTTCCATTTTTTCAGCATCAATAGTTAATAGTGATGCTTCAATATTTAATGATGTATTAGCAAAACTGGATTGATCACTATCCACAGATTGTGCATCCCCGGAAGATTGAATATCACTAGTGTTGCTGATCTGAGGGGATGTTTGTTTGGTAACAACAAAGTTTTTCATTGAAAATATATTTTTTGTAACTACACCTGGTGATGTAGCCGGTGTTGCTTTTGATGAAGTAGATGAAATGTTTGATTTGAGTTTTTCGTATTGATTATTAATTTTTTCATCTGACATTAACATAGAGTGTTTTGCACGACAATGATCTTTCCAGTTTTTAAGCAACATCGTTTTTGCACATACTGGACAAGAAACCTCTTTACTAGTTGGATACATAGGTTTAGAAGCCATTTCAGAACAACATACTTGAACACGGCAAACACAAATTATAATATATATGAAGCAATGGACATAAAACTGCTATTTTTTGATGAAATATCAACAAACGGCGACTTGTGCACGATTTTTTATATTGTTATTTGCCTCTCTTCGTCTTTTCTCTACTCCCCACTACCGAATACTACTACGTATTAAAGCGCATGACTGATGGAATGAAAACAATGAATAAGATAAGGGAGAGGAGAATAAGCCAGATGCATACGTGAGTATATGCCACTTAAGAGAGGGTTACGACACATAAAAGTAGAAATGAAATCAAGTTTTTGCAAGAAATTGAGCAGAAATAATATCGACTTTCTGCAAGAAATTGAGCAGAAATAGCATTGACTTTCTGCAAGAAATTTGGCAGAAATAATATCGACTTTCTGCAAGAAACTCGGCAGAAATAACATCGACTTTCTGCAAGAAATTGAGCAGAAATAGCATTGACTTTATGCGAGAAATTGAGCAGAAATAATATCGACTTTCTGCAAGAATTTGGCAGAAATAATATCGACTTTCTGCAAGAAATTTAGCAGAAATACTTAGGGTATACCAAAAGTTCTGATCACAGTTTTTAAAATTTAATAAAGCAATAAATATTGAATATTTTACTAAGGCAATATATAGTATAACGTCTCGTCTTTAATAATATATAGAG